GTTAAAGGATTTGTTATCTTTTGGTGCTACCCTAAACTCACACCTACAGACCATCAAGCGCCAACGATATATATATTTTTATGGGTTCACCACACCACGAAGTGGTGGTGAACCCATATTGCTTTTTCTGATGTTTCTTCTCCTCCTCCTTCTCCTCCTCCTCCTGCCATATCTTTAAATGGATTCAGCTTCTTCATTTTAGGGCCTAAGGTCCTGAAATTTGGTATGGAGGTACAGTGGGCAAATACCCCTAGGCGTTTTTTAAATTTTTGTGATACAAGCTTTTACAATCGTTTTATTTGCTTTTTTAGCGGTCCCCATAGGAAAGTACTGTGCGGGGGCGTACGCGCGTGACGTAATAAGAAAGAAATTCGGCGGCATGCCCATATATGGGCATGCAAGCATGAACCTGACGCAGCCTAATCTTTTCTTCTTGCTGATTGGCTGTTGGATTTGATTGGATTAACTCAATTAACACCTGTTCAAAGCCATTCCATTTTGACAGTATGAACTCAAGTGTTTTGGTAGGTACAGCACAGGCCACGAAATACGCATCAATTTTCGAGGGACGTTCTGCGGGAGAGTGCAGGACGCTGTGCGGGACTTCCCTCGGGAGAGTGCGGGACGTCCTCCGGAGAGTGCGATACGTTCTGCGGGAGAGTGCGGTACGTCCAGCGGGAGAGTGTGGTACGTTCTGCGGGAGCCAGACATTTTGCTCTTCTCTGTTGGAACAACGCAAGTTGGAGGTCAATGACCTGCGCCCGGCGTGTAAACAAGATTGGACAGGGAGCGGCTGTAATATCAAAGGAGCCGGCGGCTTCTGCTAGCCGGGTTGATAGTTAAGTAACATCAAGGTGGTTCAAAAGCAAACCTGATAAAGAAGGAAACCCCGTAGTTAATAGTTGAAAGTCTTGGTGGCTTGAGGCGATCGATACCGCCATGCTGTTTACTTTTTATGACATACAATGCAGTGAGTGATGTGTATCGCACCGAGTTAGCTCGGTTGGAAACGCGCAAGGCGGCAATCCCAGGCATTGCAAGTTCGAACCCCGGTGCATCGGACATAAATATTTTTAGCAATTTAACATTTTTAACAATTTTATAATTTTTAACAATTTTATCAGTTTTAACGATTTTAACAATTCTGCATTTTAACAATTACAACATTTTTTTTTATTTTCGTTGTTTTGCTTTTAACATTCAAAAACTGATTGTTCTTACTCAAGAATGTCAATAACTTAGAATGTTAGTCTTTTGTATTTTTCCAACATACAAACTAAAATCACTTTGATGTTGTCACAAAAGTATTGAGCTGACAAGAGAGAAGGAGTACGGTACTCTGCCAGTGTGAAGAATCTACAGAGGTATTACCAGTCACTAGTAGCAAGAGATAGACCACATTGAATGATGACGATGAGGACGAATCATATGAAGTACTATCATAGCTAGTACAGAAATTCTACTGCTTTACTTTACTTTCTTTCACTCTGTACATGCAATTAGCTCACTGGCATGATTTTAAAAATAAAGGTTATGATAATCATATTATATGTATAGCTTATTCAATGTATGGCTTCATAGTTTATGTGATTGTTAATAACACCTGCACAGAGCATTTCCATACTGACAGTATGTCTTTATTCAAGTGTTTTGGTAGGTATTTCAAGCTTTTCTGCTCCAGCATTGGAATGCGGGGCATGAACGTTTTTTTTTATTTTGAAAATCAACAGTTTGCATTATGCAATTAAAAATCCTAACCAATAAAGTAGGGAATAGCTATCCAACTGTTGTTTTAGTTGTATGTTACTTCATATTATAGTTATATCAATGTAAATCATTGTTTTCCCTTGTGTTTCTCATTCTTTCCCTGCCATGTCGTAAAATGTGGTGAACCCATCGCTGTATTTGCTCCAAAGCAAATATTGGCCTTTCTAGTTTTTATTATTATTGCAGTACCAAGTTCCATAACCATGGTCTGGAGGCAAACAGCTCAGACCTGTCCACGAGCGCGTCCTGCTACCTCCTAACTTTCACATATTCGGCAATTAAAACTTAGATCTGAATGTTTCCCTCATTATCATCAAGTAAACTTGGTATGATTCCGCCATCAGAAGGACATTGTGTGTCTTAAGTAATAATAAGTAATAGAACTCTGCATGTTTTGTTGGCGCACTTCTACTTCTGTGACAGAGCCACCATTTTTTAAGACTTGCTCAAGATGTTGTCTCCCAAACTTCACTCAATTTAAGTGTTGCCAACTTGTTTTTAACCCTAAACAGAACACCTGGGGTCCGCGCGGACCCCAGCACTATATATTCTGTAATATTTTTGTTTGTTTCTAAAGATTTTTTTCTGAAATTTTAGGTAATTGTCACCAACAAAGTTGTCTCTCAATACAGTGCAGAAAACTCCGTTTCTACCATTTATAAAAAAAAAATTATATCTGATTTTCTTTTGGGGTCCGCGCGGACCCCAGCCGGCTTTCGATCATAATGGATACACTGGCGTTCTTATACATTACCTTATTTCCGTTTGTATATGTTTTTATGCACTCATCGTATGTCTACCAAGTTTCCAGAGAATGGTGTAGTAATAGAATTTAGTTTTAATAACTTTGGTGTAATTATGACGTCATAATGGTGTCATATGACGTCAGAGCTAATAATATAGTCCGCCATATTGGATTTTGACCAATGACGTCATCAAATTAGCAGATTCTATGCATATTAAATGATTTAACTTATATCTAATCATGTAAGATGTTATTAATGTTGGAAAAGAAGTGTAATTTAATATAAAACTCAGAAAATTTTTATGTTTAAACCAAAATTACTTCTATTTAAAAAAAAACTGCCTGCTAGAAACCAGTTGCCATGGCAACATAAAAAAACATCAACTTATTAGTATTAAACTAATATGAACTTTTTTCCAGAGACATTTTAGGAAAGGTCTCCAAATTTGATACTTCTAGCGCAAGCCGTTTAGCCGCTATCTGAGATCAAAGTTGAGCCTCAAAAGCCCCTTCAGTCTGAAATGGGTTTAAAAATCGGGTATTTCTTCTTGTCTTCTTTTCTTCACCAAAAAATAGAAAAAGTTAAAAATGTATGATTTTTGTATGTAATGTGGACACAGAGGTTCCCACGTCAGTTTGCAAAACAATTGAGCTGGTAGCATGTTGATAATTTCTAAAAATTAGCAAAAAACTGTTCTGGGGTCCGCGCGGACCCCAGGTGTACAGATTAATCAGTCCGGGAAGGTGTACTGTTGAGGGTTAAGTAAATTTGATATAATTCTGCCATCAGAAGGACAATGTATGCTGTACATTGTATCGTAATAACAATAGTAATAAAATTGATCAAAGGAATACAAAAATGAATGTTATACTGGCACAGCGTCTACTTCTTACAGAATCACCATTCTTAAAACTATCCCACACATATTCTGGAAAACTCACATATGAATGTTGTCGTAATTTCACCAAGGAAACTTGACATGGTTCTGACACCAGAAGGACATTGTGTGCCTGTACATTATATCGTGATAAGTAACACTAGTAATAAAAGCATCAAAGGCATTATTATATTAATGTTCAATTGACACAGCGTCTACTTCTACCAAAGAATTATTAATCTTTCCTCCAAATATTCAGGAAAAGGTATATATGAATGTTGTCGTTTTTCCATGAATTAAATTTTTTGCCATTAGAAATACATTGTTTGCCTTGACAAAATAATTAATAAGTAATAACAAGTAATTAAGCTATGCGCGTTATTTTGGCACAGCGTTTACTTCTGTGAGAGAACCACTATTCCTAAACTTGCTATCCTCCATATATTCAGGCAAACTTACATCTGAATGTTTCCTTTTTTTCAATCAAGTAGACTTGATATGATTCTGTCATCGGAAAGATGGCAGAATGGCAGAATTGTGACATTGTGTGTCTTGTGTAAATTAGTAATAAGTAATCAAATCTGACATGTTCTATTGGCACAGCGTCTACTATGACAGAACCAAAATTTCTTTGTTCCAGTTGTTCTCTCCCACACTTCACTAAATTCGACTGTTGCTGAATTTGTTACCAAGTAAACAAGGTATGATTCTGCCACCAAAAGGACATTGTGTGCCTTTCCATTTTATTTTAAAAAGTAAAAATAATAATAAAAGTAATAAAAGCAATAAAATATATGGATATTCTACAGGCACAGCTTCTACTTCTATCACATAATCACCATTCCTAAACTTGCTACCTTCCAAATATTCAGGAAAACTTGCATCTGAATGTTTCCCTTATTGTCATCAAGTAAATTGACATAATTCTGCCGTCAGAAGGACATTTTGTGCCTTGACTAAATGAGTGGACAAATGTCAATGAGTACTTATGGAAACAAGCGTGACTAGTGACTACCATTAAACAGAACTGATTCATTCCATTCAGTATTTCTACTGTACAGATTCAACCTTTGAAAAAAAATGTTGATCTAAAGCAATGCTATAATTTTTTTTTGTTTTGCTTCAAGTTGCACTACTTAGGCTGACTGCGGATGGTCGGAGAGCAGCTGTACAGTAGTGGTGAGACTCCCGCCTGTCGTCTATGGACAGCCTAAAAAAGTTATAATTATGAGAGATGAGCTGTAGAATGATTTAGTTAGGATGGTTTGTGATGAAAGCAATGGTGGTTTGCCGCTCCTACTGGGTACGTAAACTATGCCATGTGATTACTGTATGGAAAAGTTTTAGGAAATAATACGAATTCAATAAATACTTGAGCAGCCTGACATATGAATCGAAAAAAATAGTTTAATCAGAAAATAAAATGATAGAAAACATGTTTTTTATCAAGAACAGGCTAAATATGGATCATTTTGAAAATGCATGCAACATATCCAGTTAAACAAAAGGCGAAATACGCTTCCCCAAACCCCCAACATATATACCGGTGCCCCGCATTAACGTTTTGTTTTTTAAACTAATGATAGTGTCAAATACTAGAAAGAAGGTTTTCAGGAAATAATGCGGATATGATAAGTACCTGGAACAGCCTGGCATACGAAGTTATGCTGATAGTGGCAGGGTGCGTCGATCCATTTGTCTCTCCGGTAATTTTTTCTGGAGTAAGCGACGCAATCTTCGTCGGCCCCATATTTTTCCGGTTCTCCCTGACCCCAGGAGTTGTACGGCCCAAGTGCAGAACCGTCCACCCACTCAAACTTCCCCTCTTCGGTCTGATCGTGAAGACCAATCCAGTAGGCAAAACGGACGTTCACGGACATGTACAGGGAGAACAGGAAGGCGTTGGTGTCAGCGTCTCGGGGCATGGCGAGAGTGCCGCCGTCTGCACGACAGGTCGCGCCCGCTTCGCTGAAGGACTTGCGTGCGTCAAATGCCTTGTAGCAGATTCCACGCCAGATTGTGTAACCTTCAGGACAAGATGCTAAAAAACAAGTTTTTTTTTTTTAAATTACCTATGGATCGGATATGTTAACAATCATGATATACATGCAATAAATCTACCCTACTAAAACCGCCACCCCCTCCACCCAAACCCCCCCAACACACACACACACACACACACACACACACACACACTCACACACACGCTAACATATACTGTAAGTACCGAGGGAGCTGCATTACCTCTTTTTAAACAACTGAAGTTTTCAAATAGATCAACATCAAAGGAAAACATAACAGATTAAAAACCCAATTAATAATTACGTAAAGTCTTCTCAATCACGTGCAGACGCTGATCCAAGGTGGCGATTCGGCTTCGCTCGTTGTCCAGATCGCGTTTTAAGTCGTCAACAGCAGTGGGTATGCCGTCTTGTTCGCGCTTTAAGGCGTTTACAGCGGCGGACAGTTGACGCATGTCGTCTTGGTAGCCCTTTAAGGCGTCTTGGCCGCGCTTCAAGGCGTCAACAGTGGCGGACAGATGGCGTATGTCGTCCTGGTCGCGCTTCACAGTAGTCGACAGTTGAGATATTTCCTATTAAGGTATTTACCCACGTCAGAATACGTAAGAATTAAACTGAGAAAAAACTACTGAAAATTTTTTTCTTGTAGCCTGCTAAAAACAAAATGGGATTCAGAGAAACAGCTTTATGGTACAAGACCAATACCTGTTTGTTGCTAAATGTCAGAGGGGCGAGTCCCACTGCGATTAGGCTCAGCAGCACGGCGATGCCAGCGGCCAGACAGCTGCGGTGGGCGCGGAGGAAGCTACAGACACCACGGCGGCCGCTCGTTCCACCCGGATGCGCGCCATCTGGTAGGAAAAACATACTTTACTCAGTTTATTGTTCACGTCAACATTTACGCATAGTGAGGCTCAGTTTAAACACAGTAGTTGTGCTGTTATACATGTCACGGGTATGAAATACCCATTATGAAGATAAGTTCCATGGAACTTGAGTTTGACATTATCTTGTATGTTTTTATATTTTTGCTGTTTTTAATAGAAAATACCCATAATTTACCACTTAAATTTAGCATTATCGTAAAAAAATTGCATTAAAATCCTAATTTGCATAATTGTTGCATTTAAATGTTCCACATGGCAACATTACATATACAATAAGTACTGAAGTCCCATTATGAAAAGAGATTAAATTGTATTATCACTTATGCAAATTATAGATTTTTTACCTGGTTTGGAGGGGTCCGTGGTGTCAGGTGTGTTTCCATCGTCGTTCGCACGTGCCTGGTGATCAGTCTGGGGCTGGTCCATGGGCGGGTCGTCTGGACGATACAAACAGATGTAATATAGTCATTTGTGAACAATATTTGACCTTTAACATACGAAAAAAAAACGATTTACCCGAATAACAAAAAAAAGTGATAGTGGGAAATATTTACCTATATTTTGGCATTGTTTTTGTTAATCGAAATGCACGGCCGGTCCCCGGTTTGGAAATGTGACTTGAGCATTAGAAGGTAAAGAAATAGTTCCTCGGACCTGCATGTTTACAACTCCTGTACCCTAAAATTAATGCTTTTGGTACATTACGAAACTGTGGAGTACTTTTGATAAACTATGTTATAAGGTATTTGTTTAACAAGGTTCAAATAAAAGCCTACAAAAGTAAGTGAATACTATCACAGACCAATCAAGGTAAATACTTAAACCACCAGCTTTAGGTTACAATCATAAAGCAATAAGAAAGGATGAAAAAATTGAAAACGTTTTACCTGACATGGAGGCGTGCGTAGTGTCGGATGTGTTTTTGTCGTCGTTCGCACGTGCCTGGGGTTGGTCCATGGGTTGGTCGTCTGGAAAAAAAATAATGTCGGAAGGAGTCGTCCGAAAATTTGGGTAAGTCCCAGATTACTCAGTGTTGGCCTGAACGTTTATCCCTTTTGTCATAATAAAGTATACCAACGCAGATGAACTTCAATGCTAAACTAGAAAGGCCAATATTTGCTTTGGAGCAAATACAGCGATGGGTTCACCACATTTTACCACATGGCAGGGAAAGAATGAGAAACACAAGGGAAAACAATGATTTAGTAAATTACATTGATATAACTATAATATGAAGTAACATACAACTAAAACAACAGTTGGATAGCTATTCCCTACTTTATTGGTTAGGATTTTTAATTGCATAATGCAAACTGTTGATTTTCAAAATAAAATAAAAAACGTTCATGCCCCG